AAAAAAATGATCCATAGCATCATAAAAACTCAAATGGTTTTTCAATTCCCGTAGTCTAAGTTATAATAATCGTCAAAAAATCGAAAATGAAAATTTTTGCATGGCTTTGTTTCGAAGTTCCTGGCTATTTTGGCTTTTTTTGACTATTTTGACATATCTTAGAAAAAAATTATGTGTGAATGTGTGTGTGTATGTATGAGTGGATACAATTTTTCGTCCAAGATTTCGGGCGCACAAATCAACCGATTTGAATGAACTTTCGATTCCTATCTACTAAGGAACGTGTTGATTAATTTTTGGCAGAGACAGAACCAACCGTTTTGGAGATATGGTGCAGGCATAGAAATTCGGTTTTTGCGAGAACGAGAGATCCGATTAGAATGATTAAAAAAACTTTTGATTCGTATTGACGGGGAGACGTGCTGATTAGGTTTTTGGCAGGTCCAGACGTTGTATAGATAAGGAGCATAAGTGCAAAAATTAGTAATTTTTGAGAAAACGGAGCATCCGATAAGAATGATTCAAAACACATTCGATTCGTATTGACGGAAAGATGTGCTGATTTGTTTTTTGCGGAGGCTGTTGCAGTCGATTTGGAAATACGGAGCAAAAAGTGCAAAAAATAGCAGTTATTTAGAGAATGGATCATCTAATTAGCATAATTCGAAATATATTTTGCTTGTATTGAAAGTATAAAAAAATGATTGAAGTTTTTGAAAAAGATAAAAAATATTTTTTATTTTAAACTTTTAAAAAAAAATTGTTTTTAATTTCTAAAAAATATTGTTTTTAAATATATAAAATGATTCGGATTTTAATTTTAACTTAGGCTAAAAACATTTGAAATTTCTCTAATATTAATGTACGGAAAGGTCCAGCAAAAGACACGATGCCATGCACCACTAGTTTTTTTTTAAATCATAATTAAATTATATGTTACACAGTATCTGAAAACATATCCACATTATATCCCTGCAACGCAAATAATGGCCATGAAAATTTTCTATTCAAGATACCTATGAAAAATTGCAAGCATTACTTTCTTAATTACAAATACATCTCAAATTAATTGAAGAATGCACCAGAATCTGCAAAACAAAAGTAAACTAGTAGTGTATGTCATCGTGCCTTTAGGAACTTTCCGTACCAAAAATAATTTTCTAAAAAAGATTAAAACTTCGTGTGAGTGTGCGTGTTTGTGTGTGCGGATACAATTTTTCGTCGACGATTTTGGGAACACCGATTTGAATAATTCAAAAAACATTCGATTTGTATTGATAAGGAGACGTGCTGATTAGTTTTTGGCGAAGGAAGGTCTAGACGTTCCGAAAATACGGGGCAAAAGTGCCAAAAATGGTAACTCAGTTTTTAAGAGAACGGAGCGTACAACTTTAATCATTCAAAAAACATTTTACTTGACGTTCCGAAAATACGGGGCAGGTCTAGACATTCCAAAAATACGGGGCAAAAAGTGCCAAAAATGGTAACTCAGTTTTTAAGAGAACGGAGCGTACAACTTTAATAATTCAAAAAACATTTTACTTGTATTGACAAGGTGAATAACTGATTAAATTGATATGAACTCTCAATAAAAATAAATAAAAAATGTCATTTGGCGGTCAAAAATGTTTATTGGACATATGCACATCAAATTATCAGTTATTTCATAGAAATTTTAATAATGTGTACACATTTTGCGGATTTTTTTTTTGGGTTTTTCAAGGCGTATCAAGATTTTTAATTTTGAAGTTTATTTATATAATTCAAGCAAGTGTTTTCGACATTTTCGACGGAATAACCGATTACGTACATATTAGAAGTATTTAAAGGCAGAAGCAGTACTTAATAATAAGACCAGTTATCAAAATATCAGCTATAAGAAGAATTGAGCCTATGGAGTTGCCACAGCTTAATTAGAAAAAAATCACTCACTAGATTGATTTCTATACATTTTTTTTCTTAAATAAATTAGCTTTATTTTAATATTATCATAAAAGCTTAGAAATTGTATCACTTTGATTGATATTTATAATATTAATAATAAAAACTTTCTTAAACTTTCTTTTTGAGACTATTATAGACGCACATCGCAAAGTCGGTCAGCCGCTCCAACCTCCCCTATATCAGCACCGTCATATTCGTCAGTACTAATAGTCTAAGAGCCAGTGAACTATTTGACTAACCTGTTTTCTCAAAGCTAGAATTTTTTTTAATGATATTTTATTATCGGTACATTAAGAAAGTGCCGGTCTGGCAAGCATTTAACGATTGCGTCATCATCCCTCGAGTTTTTGAAAATGTAAAAAAACTCATTTTTTTAACTTGCTTTCACAAGGCTCAAATTTTGAGGAAGTATTCTTGTAACTGTTCAGAAAGCATATGTAGAAAGCCAGACCATTCTGACGATTGCAAGGGTCTGCCAGACGAGTACATAATAGTCACGACGCGCAAGGGTGTGGGCGCATTGCCATACATGATCGACTAATACCCTTGTATTTGAATAATTTATACGCCATTTTGAAGGTCATTTTGAAAACATCCGATATACCAAACTTTAACTTTGTATCTCACCTTATGGCCGAGACATCATTGAAAATATGCCAAAGTGGCCCCTTTTTCAAATTCAATTTTTGGCGTAACCATAAAAGATATCGAAAAAAAAATACGTGATTCTACTCATATTGGCTTAGGCCGCTTAATGTATAGTAATATATGCTAAATAATCCTTTATTATTAGCTAAAAAGGATAAAATAATTTTTCAATTAATGTTTTCGGATAGTGCGTTTTGTTCAATTACTTTCTTATTAGCGTTATTCGGAAGCCTATTGTTTTTTCTTTTAGTACTGCAAAAATTGTTCAAATCTTTGTGGAACACATTGAAAAATTGAAGAAACCAGAGTTTGTATACCCGCGCGTAACGCATTGCGCACTGCTATCCGATAGAACGAATTCTATGCGGGCTACTATTATCGTTACGCGCGGTGTACTGTGCATAGAATTCGTTCGATCGGATAGCTGTGCGCGATGCGTTACGCGCGGGTATACAAACTCTGGTTTCTTCAATTTTTCAATGTGTTCCACAAATTTGATTTGAACAATTTTTGCAGTACTAAAAGAAAAAACAATAGGCTTCCGAATAACGCTAATAAGAAAGTAATTGAACAAAACGCACTATCCGAAAACATTAATTGAAAAATTATTTTATCCTTTTTAGCTAATAATAAAGGATTATTTAGCATATATTACTATACATTAAGCGGCCTAAGCCAATATGAGTAGAATCACGTATTTTTTTTTTCGATATCTTTTATGGTTACGCCAAAAATTGAATTTGAAAAAGGGGCCACTTTGGCATATTTTCAATGATATCTCGGCCATAAGGTGAGATACAGAGTTAAAGTTTGGTATATCGGATGTTTTCAAAATGACCTTCAAAATGGCGTATAAATTATTCAAATACAAGGGTATTAGTCGATCATGTATGGCAATGCGCCCACACCCTTGCGCGTCGTGACTATTATGTACTCGTCTGGCAGACCCTTGCAATCGTCAGAATGGTCTGGCTTTCTACATATGCTTTCTGAACAGTTACAAGAATACTCCCTCAAAATTTGAGCCTTGTAAAAGCAAGTTAAAAAAATGAGTTTTTTTACATTTTCAAAAACTCGAGGGATGATGACGCAATCGCTAAATGCTAATGTACCGATAATAAAATATCATTAAAAAAATTTCTAGCTTTGAGAAAACAGGTTAGTCAAATAGTTCACTGGCTCTTAGACTATAATGCAGGTTTACGCATCTCGGCCTTCTTATTGCTCATATGGTCAGATATGTACGCCGTACCGGAGGCATATAAGGCAAATAAGATTGAAAATAAATATTGATTTATGCCGTACGAACGTTACGATCATATTGGAACCCTGTCTGAATTATAGCGCCGCGGACGGGCAGCCGCGGGAGTGCCGCTTTTAATATTCTTAACATTTTGCTTTGCAAATGTATAAGCGGGATTTAGCCTGTTATATTACATATCTAAATCATTAATATATGACGACTTAAAACACAATTTATTAACTTCCCGTAGGGTAAGTTATTGTAATCGTCCAAAAATCAAAATTAAACTTTTTTACATTTCTTCACGTTGTGAAAGTTTCTGAACATTTCGGCATACCTCAGAAAAAATGTGTGTGTGTAGGTATGGATGCAATTTTTCGCCCAAGATTTCGGGCGCATGGATCAACCGATTTGAATGGTTCAAATAACATTCGACTCCTATTGATAGAGAGATGTGCTGATTAGTTTTTGGCAATGGAAGGCCCAGCCGTTCCGGAGATACGGAGCAAAGAATGCAGAAAATAGAAATCGCGTTTTTGAGAGATCGGAGAATCTGATTTGAATGATCCAAAAAGCATTCAATTCGTATTCGACGGGGAGAAGTGGTGATTAGTTTTTGGTAAAAGCAGGTCTATCGGTTTTAGAGATACAGAGCTAAATGTGCAAAAAATGGCAGTTTTTGAGAGAACTAAGCGTCTGATTTGAATGATTTAAAGAACTTTCTGCTTGTTTTAACAAAATAATTCATATTCAACGTCGAGCGGTCGACGAGTACACAACTAGTTGCGTAAAATACCTGATATAAATAATAGATCAACAACAAAGTGTGGTGAGTCACAGGCAACTCGGGCCTGATGACGTTCCGTTATCGGTTTATAGAAATAATACAGTGAGTACAGAGGTCGAGACAGGTATAAAAATTAGTAATGCAGTGCGTTTAATTAATAATAGTGATTGTATGGAATATGAAAGTGACGATGGAAGTGATTATAGTGATAGTAGTTTAATGAGTGAAAATAATGATGGTAAAAAAGTTAATTTGAATACTGTAAATAGTGTTAAAAATACTGATATAAGATGTGGTAATAAAAGTGTCAAGAGTAGTACTAACAAATTAGATACAAGAAAAGAATACAAAAAAATGGATAAGGTAAATAGATCAAAAATGAGTCCGAAGAAAAGTAACATTAATGAAGGAGTAATTAAAAAAATGGTACTGGGAATAAAAGATGATCAGGCAAAGGAAACAAAAAATATCAATGAAAATAAATTAAGAAATAATAATAAGGAACCTCAGCGGAATTGGAATGATATGGTAATAGAAGAAGAATTAAGTAATAGTTCTAACAATATAGAAGTTTTAAAAGAAACTAATAAGAAGAAAAATGATATGGAAATTGAAGAAGAAAATAGTAGTAATCCGGATGTTATAGAAGCGGAAAAAGGAAATGGAAGGAATGACAACCACATGGTTGTTGAGGAAAATTCTAACAAGAGTCAGAGTGAATTAAAATTAAATATTGAGAAAAATTACTATAGTGCATTAGATGAAGGCCCATATGTAGTTTATGCTGAATCAATGAATCAAAATTTGGGTAATTATCATAATGTGGCACTGGGTAGAATAATATATAAAATTTCCCCAGTAATAAGTAGAAATATTGACAATTTTACAAAAATAGGCAAAAATAAAATTAAAATAGTTTTCAAAAATTATGAATATGCGAATAAAATAATTAGGGAAGACCTTTTGAACAAAAATAATATAAAAGTATATATCCCTAGACATAAATTATTTAGGGCGGGAATAATTTTCAATGTGGATGAAGAAATGGATGAGTCAGAAATTAAGGAAGTAATAAAATCAGATATAGAAATAATTGATGTAGTTTGTATTAAAAAAAGAAACAAAGATACAAATAGTCTGAAATCTCAAATGGTTAAAATTTTATTCAAAGGAAATTACTTGCCTGAAAAAGTATCAATATATTCAGTAAAACTTCAAGTGAGTCCATTTGTACAGAAAGTCATACAGTGCCACAATTGTTGGCGATATGGTCATATTCGCCTGCAATGTAAGGCCAAAAAAAGATGCCGAAAATGCTCTAGAGAGCACAATGCTGAATTGTGTCACGTAGAAAAAGATTTTGAATGCGCTGGATGTCACAAAAATCACGAAGCAAATGATAAAAATTGTGAAGTTTACCAATTTAATAAAAATGTAAAAGAGCTAATGGCTTTTCAGAATATTTCGTACTCGGAGGCCAAATTTATTCTTCGGAAACAAAATTATGCAGAAGTAACAAAAATAAATCACTTCAATCCAGACTTCAAAAAGACATTTCCTAGAATTAACGAAGCAGTTAATTATGGAACAAACATGATAAATAAAAATAGGTATGAAGCACTGAGTAACCTTCAAGAACAAGAAATAAATATTGATCAAAGTAGGTTAATGCTGATGAATAAACCTAGAAGAATTATGGAAAGAAGACAAACTGAAAATGGCAGATATATACAAATGAATAACAGGAATTTAAAACAAACAAGTGGAGAGAGAAATTCACAAAGGCGCGAATATTGCGGCAAAAATATAGAAATAGAAGAAATTAGGAAAATACAAATAATTCATGAGGAGCTAGTTAAAAAACTGAGAGAAAAAATAAGGAACAAAGAGTGTGATGATCTAGAGGAAGTTGTGGTAAAATTTAAAAAGGATATGGATATAATTTACGAGAAGTATAATAGTGTGGAAGTTAGAAATATTAGTGAACAACAAAATAAAGTTGGTTTTGATAATAATAACAAAAGTTGAAATTATTAGAAGTAAAAGAAAATTGATAAACGTTTAAACAGTGAAATTCAAATTAAAACCAAATCTATAAATTTCATTATGCATTTTTTACAGTGGAACATTAGATCGTTTAATTCTAACAAAGAAAGTTTGGAAATCTTTTTATATCAAAATAAAACTGATGTTATATTTTTATCAGAATCCTGGTTCAAATGGAACCGACGGTACTATTTAAAAAATTACAATATAATCAGAACTGACAGATATGACGGGAAAGGTGGAGCGGCTATAATTATTAACGAAAGAATTAACTATCAGAATGTAAATATAGATATTGGAGAAATAGATATAAACAAAGTCCAATTATGTGCAATATCAATAATATTAGGAGATAAAAAAGTATATTTGGTATCAATATATATATCGCCAGGGACACACGTTACGAAACAACAATGGAATTATTTATTTGAGAATATTCCTAGACCGTTCATTTTAGCTGGAGATGTAAATGCGCATCACCATTCCTGGGGATGTAACTATAATGATAATTACGGAATGAATTTAATGGAATCAATCGAAGAGTGTAATTTATTTGTATTAAATAATGGTTCCCCAACACTTGTGTTTAAAAACACTAAAACTGTAGTTGATGTTACAGTGTGCTCTTCTGAAATATTTCATTTAATAACATGGAAAGTAATAGAGGAAAACTTAGGCTCCGATCATTATCCTATTTATTTTTATTTGGATATAGTGAGAAGTAACAGGATATTGATTCCCAATAGAAAATGGAATTGTGGTAAAGCTGATTGGCAAAAATATAAAATAATTATTGAACATGAAATTTTATCATTGGGCAATAATTTAGATAGTAACATTTATGAAAAATTCACAAATATTATAAATCAAACTGCGGAAAAATGTATACCAATAAATAAAATATTAACAACATCTCAAGTGAGGAAACCAGTGTGGTGGGATGAAGAATGTCTTAAACTGGTAGAAGAACGAAGAAAAGCAGAAAAGAACTTTAGAAGAAATTCGAGTTTAGAAAATTTCCTTCAGTGTAATAGAATTAAAGCTAAAGTTCGGAAAGAACTAAAAATAAAGAAAAGAGAAAGTTGGTGTAAATTTGTCAACAATCTAAATCCTAATACCCCATATAAAATTATTTTTAAAATGGTTAAATCAATGAACAATTATATTTCACAGAATGAGAAGAATTCAGAATTGATTAATGATAAAGTAGTGGAAGAAGTAGTTGATAATATTGCGCCCTTTGGAGTGGGTGATGATATTTGTAAATATCTTAAAGGAAATAGAGTAACAGGTTCGGTAGAAAAGTCATTAATTAGACCATTTTCATTATGGGAATTAGAAAAATCTTGGAGCAAAATCAAAGATACTGCTCCAGGATTAGACAACATTCATTATTCTATGTTAAAAAACCTTCCACAGTCCGGAAAAGAAATTCTACTTAAAATTATTAATAAGTATTGGCTGTCACCGAATGAAATTCCTGATTGGAATAAATATAGAGTTATTTTAATTAAAAAGAAGAGCAATAATTCTGATAATAGCAATGCATATAGACCAATTACTTTGGCGTCATGTATTGCTAAAATAAAAGATAGGATGATAAAAAGAAGAGTCGAGTGGTGGATTGAAAACAATCAGTTATTGCCCAAAAGCCAATTTGGCTTTAGAAAAGGATTAAGCACGCAAGATAGTCTAAGTATATTTTCCACAGACATACATCTAGCCTTTTCAAGAAACACGTATGTCGTTGCACTGTTTTGCGATATAAAGGGTGCATACGATAATGTGGTGCCGGGAAAATTAGCAGAAAGTCTTGTACATGCTGGCTTTCCAGAAAAATTGATCAAAGCTATGGTATATTCTACCTTTAATAGAGAAATCGAAGTTAAAATAAATGAAAATGCAAGGATTGGAAGAGTTCTTCGACAGGGCCTACCTCAAGGAGCTATCCTTAGTCCCTTATTATATGCTCTATATGTACGGGATATAGAAGGTATATGGTTGGAAGGTACGAAAATTCTACAATATGCAGATGACTTATTGATCTATATTGAAAAAGATAATTTGAAAGAGGCCATCGATATGATGTCTATGAATATGGAATTGCTGCATATTTGGTTGAATGAGAAAGGTCTGGAACTATCAGATGATAAAAGCTCCATAGGAATATTTACGAGGCATTCCAACAAAAAGTTCCCAGCTTGTATTTCAAGTCCATATAATACAATTAAAATTCATTGCAACAATAAATTCCTAGGTATATATTTTGATCAAAAAATGACTTTTAAATATCATATGAATTATATTAAAAAAAGAATTGAAAAAAAGACCAGTTTAATGAGACTGATAAACAGTACTTGGTGGGGTTCACACCCTATCACATCTATTAATTTATATAAAACCATAATTAGATCAATACTGGAATATGGTAGCATAATTTTTGGACATTCAAATATGGTAAATGAGCTTGAAAAAATTCAATACAAATGTTTAAGATTTTGCGCAGGTATGATGAGATCGACACCAACAAATGTACTGTTATTAGAAACTGGTGTTATGCCACTAAAAGTCAGATATGAATGGTTGAGTGACAAATATATGCTGAAAAAAATTAATTTTAATTCATCTGAAATATATGACAGAATTAGTGATTTAAATAATGAATGCGAACGTAATATTTATTGGCTGAATAAAAAAATACCTATTATTATTCAGAGTTTTAGAGAAGTAATTAAATATCAAGAAAGTATGTATTCATTCAGCATTCATCCTTATTATAATAAAATATATTTTGACAGTTGTATATTTGATAATATTATAAATATCAATTTATTAAAATCTGTTAATAATAATCCAGATGCAGAAGTTATATTTACGGATGGATCGAAGGATATGGACAATGTAGGTTTTGCTATATATAAAGAAACCAATCAAACAAGTGAATGTTACAAGTTACCAGGGTGTGTTTCTGTCTATACAGCGGAGTTATTTGCAATTAAGGAGGCCATAAGAAAAGCTAAAGAACAGAATTATAATAAAACAATTATAATTACGGACAGCATGAGCTGTATCAATAAATTACAAGTGTTTTTTAGAGATCTAAATTTAGAAGAAAAAATTTATTTTGATATCTTGCAAGATTTGGAGAAAATTAAAGAAAATGGAAAGGATATAAGAATAGGATGGGTAAAAGGTCACTCCGGAATTTCAGGAAACGAGAAAGCTGATGAATTAGCCAAATACGCTTGCTTAAAGGGAATGGAATATAACCAAGTATTAAATAAAGATATAATAAAAGTTATGAAAAATAAAGCAGTTAATAAATGGAAAACGGATTGGCAAATAACATCGAGATATAAAGGAAAATATTATAAAGGGGTTAACGACTTTGTTAAAAAGGTACCTTGGTTTTATCAATTCAAAAATGAAGATAGATACTTTATAAGTACGATGAACAGAATAAGGTGTAACCATGGTCATTTCCCAGAACACCTGTTCAAAATAAAGATGAGAGAGTCAGCTATTTGTGACTGTGGGAAGGATGTGGGATCTTTGGAACATATAATTTTAACTTGCAGCAGATATCAAGAAAATAGGGATTATTTATTATATGAATTATATAGAATTAAAAATTTAGTTAAACCATTTAATTTATTTAGTTTACTGTCAAATATTGATTATTATAAAATTATATATAATTTTTTAGTTAAAAGTAAAATTAGAATATAAATGTAGGAAATATAAATGTTGTATATGGCTAGTTTGTAAATAAGAGGCCAAATAAAATAAATGAAAAAAAAAAAAAACAAAATAATTGCTTTTGGAAAAAAAATTGACTCATTTTTTTTTTTCATTTTTTTTTTTTTTGTATGTCGAAAATAATTCAGATTTTAATTGTAATTCTGACTTAAGTTCTAATATACATTAAACAATTATTTTCAACTTTGCAATTCAGTATATATAATTCTTTTAAATATAAGACAATGTTACTGTATTTAGTTATAATAATCCATTTGAAAACATTTAATATTTCTCGAACATTTCGTTACGGTACGGGAAGTTCCAGCAATTTGCCTTAGGACACGATGCCATGCACCCCACTAGTTTAATTTATTTATTGTAAAATTGCTTTTTTAACTTCCCGTAGGGTAGTTATAGTAATGGGCCGAAAATCGAAAAGGAAAATTTTTGATTTATCGACATTTTGAAGGTTTCAGAACATTTTGGCATACCTCAGAAAAATGGATGTATGCGTGTGTGTTTTGTGTGTCCGCATTTTTTTGTTCACGCTTTCGGGCGCACGGATCAACCGATTTTAATGATTCAAAAACATTCGATTCCTATTGGGGGTAAGATGTGCTGATTAGTTTTTGGCAAAGGCAGGTTCAGCTGCTACGGAGATAAAGAGCAAAGAGTGCAGAAAATAGAAATCGAGTTTTTGAGAGAACGGAGCTTTCGATTTAAATGATTCAAAAAACTTTTTACTTATGTTGACATAACAATTGCTTTTGAAAAAAAATGTCATTTTTTTTATACTGAAAATAATTCAGATTTCAATTTTAATTCTGGATAAAGTTTTAAAGCTCATTTATATACTTTAAATAAATAACTTTACCTTTGTAATTCAGTTTATATAATTCTTATAAATAAATATTAGATAAACGTTACAATGTTCATAATAATCTATTTGAAAACAATATTCCTCGAACATTTCGCTACGGTACGGGAAGTTCGAGCAATTTGCCTTAAGGCACGATGCCATGGACCCCACTAGTTTATTTACTAATTTTTATCGATTATACAGTAGCCTATTTACCCCTTTGCCCTTTTTACCCCTTACACGTGTGAACTTTTATGTAAGTTATAAAAAAAACTGTTGAATCTAACTTAAAGTTATAAATTTCAAATATTGCATTTTATTTCCCGAGAGCAACGTCTTAAAAATCAAGGTGGCGGCTGGTTATACATGTTTTCCCTTTACT